TTTCATTTTTGATGCCAGGAGCTGTGAAATAGCAAACCTGAACTAAAATGCTTTGCTTGAGCAGTGCTACACCTTTGACTCCAGCTTGATACAGCTGGAGCCATGCCTCCAGCCCAAAGCATGCGGGTGGTAAAATCCAAATAGCTTCTGGATAGTTTTAATGGCATTAAGTTATAATGACTTTCAAACTGTGCGTTGCTACGGCTTAACAAGGAGCGCTACGGAAAACGTTTACCTGCAGACTACTGAAGAAACGTCCCAGCTGTTGATTTAGAGTCCACAGCTAAGTCAGTTCGACCAAAGTGAATTTATGACTGCTCATTATTTAACTTAGTCTAGGATCATAATTAAAGATGGTACTCTAAGGCGAATTCCCACTGATGGCAAACAGCATCATTTGAGACTCCAGCAAAGAATAATCAGACACCTTTGGGGAAGTAATCAGGCATCTGTGAAAGAAAACTCTGATGTCAAGAGCCCCTCACATGGGATGCTTTTTTAAATGTCGTGAGGCTTGCAGCACGTTTAATGAGACAGAAAGGTTAAAGCTCCTTTTTTCCCCGCAGAGTTAAAAATCATAAAGAGAAACAACATTTGATGGTCCTACCCAGCAGCAAAATCAGATGGGCAAATATTCTGTTGCATGCAGGGTACATCTTGAAACATGAAAATGAAACACCTTTCCCTCCTCAGCTTCTTGCCTGTACTTTCACTGAAGCAGGCAGTGTTTTGTAACTATATCTCTACTTGATGGGACAACATGTGAGCACAGTAAAGAACATGCACAGCTGCAGAGTCAGGTCCTTGCACTGCGTGGTCTTTTATGTAAGGATTCTCTTTACTTGTCTCCTAAGAGCAATGCACGCAATTAAGCTAATAAATAATTAGCAATCGCTTCGGCATAGCTGCTTGGAAGCAGCCTACGAAAGAGTCAGGAGTACAATATGTGATGTGACAGAGCAACACAATCTGGAGCCAGAGAGGACACGCCAGATAAAAGAGGAGACAGTTTTAACAGAGATGGTCACGTGCAAAAAAATCAAATGCTGCCACTATCTGTTATTTACAGTATCTAGTATTTTAATAATATATTCTCTGTTTAATAAGTCTGCACAGAGAACCTCTGACTTTGAAAAAATTCATATAAATCAGTACTGTAACGAAGGTGAGTCTTTCTGTTAAATTTAACAGGCCTGATCACCTGCATGACTTAATGACATGATCCACTGTATATCTTGGATCTTTAGCAAGTTTCCTCCTTGTAAAACCTATTGTTGTCTAATGGGTTATAATCAATCTACCAGTTGCTACTATTATATAGCTGAATATTGTATATCCTGAATGGTATATTTTAGAAATAAGACATTTAAAGACAATCTGTATCGTTTCTTGAAACAGCTCCAGGGTCAACTTAAGAATTAAGCTGAGCTCACGGACTCTGAATCAGCAGAGGTCTGGTGCGTATGCTTTCATTTCAGGCATACAAGCAGTCCTCAAGAGAAGTACTTCACATCAGCTTTTGCCAACAGAAGGAAGGAATGAGATAAAGGAACCAAAGAAAACCTTCTTGCTAAATACTAACATAAAAGAAACACTGGAGTTTTCATTCTCCAACTGAATGAAGTCAAAAACTAGCCCTCCACGCTATTTCAAATTAACTAAAATATTTTCACCATCTTGTATTCTAATTATTGTAAACTGTCTTTAAAGATGGTTTCCCTCCTGAAAATAAAAAAAAAAAGAGGTGAGTAACTACAAAACAAAAGGCTGGTAACATTCATACTGGCTAACAAACTGGATCCAAATTCGCTGACAGTTTTGGTTGACCTAAAATAGCCTTTCCCAGAAGACGTTTTATTTACCAAATGCTACCAGTTATGGGGCTTTGCTAAGGAAATGATCAGTGGTCTTGCATAAAGCGAGAAATAGCTTTCCTGCAATGTATCTGCTGTTTACGCTAGCTGGTCCCATTTCTGTGACCCGAGATAGCTTTGATATCTAGGAGAAAAGGCATTCCTCTTCGGTGCCAAACTGTTCAGAATACCAAGTTTGTCAAGGAACAACTGCATTGCTTTGTACAGATCTGAAATTCACTGTTCTGAAAATTATTCTGAACATCATGCAAATCGTTCTGGGCACATTTTCCTCCAAAACAAGAAAGGCTTGCATAACGAATGCTGCACTGTTTTCTAGATTAGCAATACTGCCCACAGACTTAATAGAGTGTGACAGAAGAAACAAATTGCAAAAATTCACACCGACAAACAAATCCGAACTTCCCCTCCAGAGCCGAAGACCATCACAAACCATACCACCTTGCAGCAAACAAAAGACACATTTTCTTGACCTTGCCTTTTTCTACAACATACACATCTAAGCACAAGGGAGGGCATACAGGAGCCAACATGTGACAGACATTGGTCACACTGCCTAATGCAATGTAGAAAGCGCTGAGATGCAACTGTGAGGTGTGCAGGGGAATCTGCAAGGAATAAATTTGTTACGCTAACACTATATTCTCATATTTGTATGCTAGATCGTCTGGCTGGGAAAAGCTCTCTGCACTCAGCTTCTTGGTACTTTTGCATGAATGACACTATATAAAGAGGTACTGTATTTACTAGCTGAATAAACAATAGGTTTTGCTTTCACTCAAGTATTATGACTTCAGCTCGCTCTATTTATATGTCAGTAGTTCAGAATGTGCAGTGGACCAGGCACATCATCACTGTTCACCTTTGTCAAAGAGGAGGCCAGAAACATCCACGTTGTTACATCTCTGGAACAGCTATAACTCATCCCTGTAACCTTTGGAGGATACGCTACAATCCATTTTGTTAGTAACACTGCAGCAACCTATTAAGTTCATAAAAAAATGCACCTATTTTCATTGTCCTCTGGTGTGTACACAAGCCAAAAAGCAACAGGTTGACAGAGCCAGTACAAAAAGACTGGCTGCTGCACTGTTAGCCTCCTACAGCAAAACTTGAGGGAAAAAAAACACAGTTGAGCAGTTATGGCTCACAGCTGAGGTGAGTTATGTCAGATCATGGGGGGATGCACGTTCCCCAACAGAAGGGCCTCTGTTAAGTATGTCGTAAGCCCGAATTCCCAGGCAGGAACAGGTACAGAGCGTTATGGGACCTGGACTAACCACGTGTGTTGGGAGAGGACCCAGGAGAAGTTTCTCAGGAAGCCAGTCCCCAATCGTGTAAGCTGGTAAGTGCCCAGGTACCACGATATCTAAGCATGGACTGATGTTTACGCACCTCGCTTGCTCCACTGGATCAGCTTATGTGACTTCAACTACGCCACGTGCGCTTGGTTGAATCTGGGCCTAAGGAGTCCTTAAAGATCAACAAAGTCAACGGGAATCTTTCCAGTTACTTCAAGTGCGCCATCAACGCTTCCAACTCCAAGATTAGCCCATTAACTTTTAGACCTTAGTGTTTGTAACACTCAGTCATAATTGTAGGTTTCAGCTATTTACTAGGGGTGTGAAAATCACCTAAACCATTTTTATAATCTTAAAAACCATCCAGTGATGCGAGGGCTATTCAGGCATGTGGCCAAAGCAGTAAAACCTTCCTGAATATTATACCGCATGTACCAGAGGTACCTCAGCTGCACTCAAAATAAAAACTAGTCAGTTTTGTCACTTTTAACATAACGTAACCTATTAACTTTCATTACTGCTCTGGGTAAGTAATGCATACACAGGATATATCTGAAAAAATAAATATCGACACACGTTGCTGTTAAAACACTGATTGAAAACTGCAAACCAGAGCATCAGAGCGTGGCAGGGTCTCTCCATTCCTAAGATCTCCTTCTCAGTTCTGATACAAATTCTCTATCCCAAGGCTGCCTTTAATGGACATGAGGTTTATGTACGTGTATATTATATATATAAAAATAAGCACACATACAAAATAATGAGCCCTGAGAAATACACTCTTCCAGCACTCTCTTGGGAGGGTGAGGCTGCTGAACACAGCTGTTTTCATGATTCACGTCCTCTAAAAACTACATTCACTGTGCCTGGCCAGGTGAAAATGCCAGGTACGCAAGGGCAGCTTGTAAATCCACTTAGTTGTTTCCTTCTCGGCAAACTGCCCCCTCTCCTATTCCTCTACCTAGGATTGGTTAAGCACCAAGCATTTCTTGAGCCTCAAGACTGGGGAGTGTACATCAATTCCTCCTCTATCTATAAACAAAATTCAATAAAATCAAGGAAAATAAAGGTAGCAAATGATACTTATTTCTAGTCCTATTTTATCCCGTACACATTTCTCTCAGAATTTTTGATGTGCTCCTATAGCCGAGGGTGTTTGTGCCAACGCAACCACAGCAACCTCCTTCCCAAACCACCTCCATCTAACTCATTATCCAGCTTCTGACAGAAGCAAGCACCAGCTGCTCTACAAAAAGGCACGTGAAACACTTCAGCAAGACATCATAAAATAACCTGTCAACATGGAAGAGTTTTTTCCCAATCACCGTTGCCAAAAAGTTGATACATACGTTGAATGAAAAGGTCAATGGCTCTTCAAAACACTTGTTACTGTAAAAATGAATACCATAACCACACCTGGATACTCTATCCTCATTCAAACACCTAGTGAGTCAGTGCTAAACCCTTAAACCAAGATTCACACAGGGCCTAAATTTTACCTCTGCCTCTGACCCTTAATGTTTCCTGTTTTTTTAAGGCATCTCTAAGGGCCAGTCAGGATAAACAGGCATATAGGTTGTACTGAGACTAACTCATTCTGGATCTTCATCTCCATGGTGCCTTGTGACAGCCAGTTTCACAGGTTATCTGTGTGCACACCTAAGATTAGTTAATTTATTGGCATATGCAGACAAAGAATACCTGCATACTCTGCGCTATTGCTTTGGTAACTTATAGCTCCACTCAACACGATATAATGGCAAAGTACATTCAAAGTACAAACACCTCTTATTATTCAAGTGCAAAATTCATAATCCTAAGCTACCTTTGGAAGCTTCTGTACCGAGCGGGTTTTCCAAGATGTCTGTCATATCTTGGCTCCAAGCATCCTTCACAGCAGACTTCGACACCTTCCTGTTGTTCAGGCTTTGCTGCGGTCGGAAGTTGTTCCTCAAATACTCCACGGACTTGACGTGGTCTTGCTGTTCGGTGGTAAATATGGAATAGAATGCCTCCAGCTGATCATGGTGGGGAAGAGAAAGAACGTTAATTAGAAAAACAATGAGGCAAAATCCGGGTGGCTGATAAGAATGAAAAATGGAAGGAAGTATTGATGCCAAGGCTGATAAATCAAGCAGGAAGTTGGGCTGCCCACTGAAATCACTGCCAACCCTCTTATCTCAGCCCAGTGTTTATCCTGCCGAACAGCAAAGAAGGCCTTCGAGTAACCCGTGCAAGCTGGTCCTGGGCAAGGAAATGCTTGCCCTTAGACCCCTTGTCTGGAAGGATTTTGCGTGTGACACAGCCCCACCAAACCCCTTCTCTGCTGGCACCATTTTGTTGCACAGTATCATGCCAAACAGTGCTTCCAAGCCCTTCCACCCCACAAGCGTTCTCCAGGATTGGACAATGCTGCATCTCTGAACACCACACGGACACTTAGTGACCAGGCTAAGCTTCGTGGATAGACCTCGCAGCATTTGCACAGGAAGGTCACCGCAGTTGTCCCAGCTGTACAGGATGGGCACCCAAACCCGCACCTTGACTGGCCCACAAGCAGGTCACTAACAGAACAGCGTGACCTCGGGACTCCCAGCTCCAAGTGCCCTGGTCTCCCTCCCAACCACAACTCTCTCTGGTATCTAACTGCAGAGGGAGGAAAAAAACCCACAAAATAAATGTATTTAGGCACAATGAGCATAAAGTCCTCTGGGAAAGGAAGCTGATGTTTCCTCTGTTGGATGCAGGTCTGAGCTATTTTTAATAAAATGTATTAACCTGTACAAAAGAACTGTAATTGGAAAACTCTCCTGTTACTTTGTATCTTAATATTTCTTAGAAAGAAATTTCTACCAAAGTAAGGTGAAAATATTTTCAGCTAATGCTGTTCTCACAACTATCAAGGTCAGCACAGCATTTACTAATAGCTGGTTATCATTCAGGTCAAGAACTAGAATTAGTTATGTCGCTGTTAGAGAGGTCGAGCAAGACAGAGCAGAGGAGGATTCAGCCCTGGTCTTGTTTACATGAACAGTAATTACATTCATCCATGGTATGGATTTCAGGGAGTACAGGATCTGGCCCAAGACTTTAAAAAGGGACTGCAGTTGCACTCATAGCTTAATGACAGCTCATGGTTTGAAGGCTACACCCTTTTCATTAAGTGCATCTGCTCTGAAAGCTACAGAGGAGAGTGTGAGTCCTGAAACTGGGAAAAATTACACTGCCAGCCACATTGTAGCCTCGACTGATAGCGCTGATAAAAATAATCAAAGCAAAGTGTACTAGAGCAGCTAAGCATCCTCCACTGAACCAAGAGGCACTCACTACCATTATTTAATTTCCCTTCAAATCAGTAAATCGGAACACCCCTTCTGCTCCTGCCGCCCAGCTTGCCCGTTTTGCTGGGCCTGACGATCCCAGGTATTCAGCTGAAAGCTGTAAAACTTCTCTGACTGGCAGGACAGGAGAGCGCCATTTTTCACACATTTCATTTCAAAACTAAGCCCCTCTGGGGCAAGGTGGCGTGCTGAGCTGGCTAGCGGAGATACGTATGGGAACGACAACCCTGGGAGCAGCGCGCAGACAAGGGGAGAGTGCAAAGGGATGGATTACACGACTCAGATCCTCAGTTTGGCATTTCTGCCCTAAAACACAAAACCAAGGGAACTGCGAGTCCCGCAAGAGGCTTCCTCTGCCCCTAAAATCATCACCGGGATAGCAGAGAGCAACCCAGGCTTGAACATCTTTAGTAGCAGCTTTCTCTAATTGCCACAACGCTCTTTTGCACAATTGCTCTTGCTGTACGAGCAGGGAAACTGAGGCAACGGGCGAGCAAGCAGCCGACAGAGAGGGGTAACAGCCACCGGCCCCGGCCCCCGCTGCCTGAAATTATTAGCGTGAGGCACGCAGGAACATTGACAGATACGTTTAAAAAAAAGGAGGAAAGGGACTGTTTTCTAAAATTTTTGTCTTAAGATAGAAACCAGAGGATCCAGCTGGCCCCTATGCTCTTCTATGCCCTTCCATGAAGGAAGGGCTCCAAACTCCGCCAAGATTTGCCTGAGTTTCACGTCATGCCTGGGAGTAGTTTTGGTGAAGCCAACTGACAAAGCTTAAAGTTACTCTATATAAGCTCCAAGAACTTGGGGGTTGCAACTGCTCCTCTGCAGTCAAGTCTCTAGGCTTGTATTTCGATGATGTTAATTGAATTTTTAAAACGTTCAGAGAGAACTTTTAAAATATTTTCTTCTGCCATGCTACCTTGGGGAGGTGTAATTGTATTTTAACTACTGCCACTTCAAATATGATTTTTAACCTTCCCCTTTTTATGTGTTGAAGTATGTATAAATCATTTCAACTTCATTTTTATTATAAAAATATTATCTACCACAAATGAGAAATTAATTGATCTATAGCTGCCAGGAAAAGAAAAATCCAAGAGCTACATTCATGCTCTTTAAATAGTACGAGAGCGCCTGTTCAGAAGAAGTGAAAAGCTGTTAAAACACTATTGTAGATACAGGGAAACCTGATCTAAAACTCCAGGTATGTAATTACAAACTATTAAAGCCTGATGCACACAGTTTTCTAAGGCTTGGATACATAAATGGCAATTAAAAATACTGAAACTGTTACAAGCACGGTGAGATACTCTGAGGTATGTATTACGAGAGATAATGCCATGCTTTGGGTCACTGAGTGCACTTAGCTTTACAACACATCTGCAGGGTGACACGGCTTGTCCCGTTTTGTTGTCTAATTATCGGGAGAGATGATGACGATGGAGCACCGAGAATAAGACAGAGAAGCCTCTACAAATGGACCGTTTCAGCAGTGTCCCTTTTACAGTAAGGTATTTTGCACCAAGGCAAAGGATTTAATTAGAACAGCAACAAAGCTCAAATAATATCACTTTCCTCCTCTGGGACTACAGACTGCTTCACAGGGTTTGTGATAAAGAAGGTTAAACTATGGCAATGGATTATACTGCACTGTTTCTGTTACAAGAACAAATAATAATCATAGCAGCGGCAGGGTGGCAGTCTCTTAAAATACACCCACCTCGAGCTGCCAAAGGGAAGAATACTATTATTTATTCCACATTTGTTGTAGCATCAATGAATGGCTGTCTACACACAGAATACCCAGCCCTTCAGCCACACACGCCTGTAAAAAGCAGCACAACTCCAAATTTTGAAGGTTTAGCTTGGCACCGTTACTACTGTGCAGCACAGGAAAGAAGCTACGCTGTGATAAAGTACCTTTATACCATTATAAGGACATCCGTAGTTGGTATTTATTGGTTTATTTGCATTTATTAAAAAAGAAAAATTAAAAAAAAGAGAAAAAAAGGATGTCACAACCCACCTGACACGTATACAGGGTATAAAACTGAATGTGGGACAGGCCTCAGAGCAACCTAGTGATAATAAACTACTTAACAGTACACTTATTGATTTGTGGACAGTGAGAAGCCGGAGGGATTGCAATATACTGTAGGCAAGGACAGAATTCAAAACGATCTTGACAATCAGAGGAACAGCCTGAAAAAAACAAAAGATCCAATTCAACCGAAACATGTGCAAAGTCCCCTGCTTAGGCCAGAACTCGACTGCACGAAGACATGACGTGGACCAGCCATGCTAGACACGGCACTGCAGAAACGCATCTAGAAAAGGGGCTCTTGCTGCCCACGGGTAACAGCATCACGCTTTCGCGAAAACGGCAAAAGAACACAAACATCTGCAAAACATGAAAAAAGGACTGGAGCAGGAGCACGGTAATCTCCTTCCACCCTTTCAAAATCTTTCAGCAGCAGCAGCAGCAGCTGTCAGTCATCACGTCCGCAGAGCCGAGGCCACCCTTGGGTGGGTGAGTAGGCAACCACTCTTGAGAGCCCTTCCCAGCCCAGCAAAGGAGTAACGGAGTCATTTAGTGTGTGAAGTATTTTGCAGTACTTCCTAAGCAGAACATGATTTCACCAGCTCGGTGCCACATATTGCAACAGATCAGAGCAGGAACTGACTTCTGTTTATACAGTAATTCGTTCTTTGTGGCTCTGATCCTCAGCTGTGGTACTACGCACTATTTTAATGAAGCGAACAGTTAAGAAATATCACTGATTATTTGATGCCTCTTCTCTGCCTCCAACACCATCTAACGAACGGTTCACTTAAGTTTTACAGAATTAGTTTACTTTATAAGTTTGTTTTCGATGGCTCAAGCCAAACAAGTAAAAGGAAAGAGTAACATCAGTGGGATGACTTCCTAAAGACGACAACCTTAAAACGTCAAAAGTGCACTTAACTGGTAAACATCTGACTACATCTATCCATTACTTTATCGGGAGCATTCTTCTCCAGACAAATCCCAGACACCGTCTCTATTTGCGTTAAAAGCTGTTACGTGCTAATTTTAAAGATTTGTGCACCAGCTCTCTCACCAGCACATAATGGCAGCTCTGCTGTGTTACAAAAACAGTTAAGCATGGAGAATTAATGGAAACACGTCTTTTCTAATGTAATTAGTTCAAATTACTAAATCTGAGCAGAACTGAAATCACTTACTTTACTTTCAAAAGAAAGTTTCAATTCAAAAGAATAAAAAGGAACGCCATGTAAATATTTACACCATGGCTTAATTTAATCTTAACACAAACAATACCAAATAAATCACTGAAAGGAAACTGGGTTTCATGTTGTACTGCCTTCTTAAGACTGATGGCTCACGTTCATGTATTACTCAAGAAAAAAAAATCACCAACGCTTCCTTTTTTGTCAACGGAAACTTTTTTGTTCTCAACGTTACACCGTCGGGTTTTGAGAACGCTGCCTTAAGAGGGTAAATCTAGAGAGGAACTTCGCTAACAAAAGAAACACACCTGATGGTAAGAAATAGGAACAGGTTTCCGAAAAACTATCCACTCCACGATCTCGCTGCACGGGGGAGTTGTCAGGGAACCGGCGTAGCGGTAGTAACTCCCCAGCGACGTTGGCAGAAGGTCTCTCAGCACAAAGGGATCCAGAAAGGTCTCCTTCTCTGCAGGGAAGATTGACAAGCAAAATTACACCTCTTTTTTTTAACATATCTTTAAAATAGTCATCACATTGATAGGCAGCCTAACAACGTGTAATGGCAACAACATATTTTGTCGTATATATGCAAGGAAATACGAAGGCACCCTATCAGGAAGGCTCTGTACGAGGCGATATGCTGATTATTAAAAGAGCAGCCAGAACGCTAGTCAATCCTATAGGCGGTGTGTAGGTTCCTCCTGAGAAGGCGTGCAGGTGCGAAGTGCCCTCGTTATCCCACCGGCTTGTACTAGTGAGGAAATAACACCGCTTCGAGCGCTCTCAGCGCTCAGGAAACGGTTCTTCAGCTTGACGGCAGCGGGTGCTCGCTGAGCTCCAGCGGGACGGAGCCGGGACCCGCTCGCTGCTGCCGACCAAGAGCACGAGCCACTGCACCCGTTCCCTCGCTAAAACCCGCTGTCTCTGCTCGCGGGTCCAAGAGGCACCAACAAGAAGGTCCAACGTTTTGGGGAGGAACTCTGTCTTCTTGGCCAGCCTGAAATGCAAAGCTGAGCACTGGCAGCATTTAGCTTCAAGTAACAGTGACAAGTTGGTAACATTTAACTCTGTGAAGAAAAATAAATAAATGAAAGGAGGGAAGAGCTGCAGGCAAGACAATTCCCCTGCCATCCCCGAGCATTTACCCTCTGCTATTTATGCTGGCTCCCAGGCCAAAGCTCCCTCTTGGTCCGTGCAAAGGTGTTCACTGCCTAAGGGTGTGCTGACAGGCGAGGCTCTCCCCTACCTCTCCGTTCCTCACTTTCTGTATTCTTCGTGCCTCACACAAAACTTAGGGTAGCAGGAACGGTTCTCCCACCATCTCATCTGAGCTGCTAGGCAAGTCCATTTCCCTGCAGCCAGACGGAGAAGGCGGCGGACATGCACCCCAGCAAAGGCAGGAGGGAGGGAGAAGAAAAGGGTGAAGCCTGCAGAATTCACTTTCCCGGCATCCCACAGTTCTCTAGAAGTCTCGACTAAAGCAGGAGGCTTGTCGATACCTCTGAGCAGTACTCTGGTAATCAGGGGGATTTTTTTCCTTCTGCTGCAAGGTGCAAATGTTGGAGGCACTTCAGACATCTTCTGTCCTTCTGTGTAATGCCAGCAGCGGGCAACGCTCTTGCAGCCTTCAGTTTTTTCAGACAAGAATAATTCTACTGAAGTCGAGGTATATATTGTAACAGAACACTGCAATATCTTCATTAACGATTTCCTTCTACCTAATGTAAGCAGGTATCAACCGCTTTTCCACCCCCAGTGAGGAAGGAAACAAACAATAAAACATATTTTTTCCTTTTCATAACACACTTTCGGTAAAAAAAATGTGCTTATACGTTAAATGGTAAAATATACATGATTGGCCAAAGTTCACAGAGATTCTAATCAAGAAGCCATAATCACAGCAAAAGGTCGTATTTAATTTGATTTCCTGTTTAAAACCAATTGGCTTATTTTTATACAGGAAAAATTGGCGAGAAAAACTGCAAACTCGGTTATAGGCCTTGATTTTGAAATTCAGCACACATACTTCTTCACAACAAATGACATAACTTTTTTATGTAAGAAATTGTCCCTTTATATATGGAAATCAGGCACACAGTAGATTGTTATGAATCTGAAAGGGCATTTGAACATGCAAACACACCTGTTTTCATTAACAGCCAATGACTAAAAATAGAATTGATAGGAGGTATACGCATATTTTTAAAAGAGCTTTCCCCTTATATCCATGCTAATTGGGGAATTTAAAAAAAATAATGCTTCACCTTACAACTAATAATTAACTATTTTTAACTCCTAGAACCTTTTATTTAAAACTAAGAAAACACTTAAGACGTTGGACAAACCTATTCCATGGAAAACCTGGAGTATGGAGTATCCCTTTATCAAGGGATGGCAGGAGAGCGAAGCTCATTTTCTACTTTCAAAGATTTTTGTGCCATATGCTGACAATATTATATTTTAATAATTAATTGTTCATCAAAGGAAAAGATGAAGAACAGGGATGCTAAATTCAAAGTTATTCAAATTGCAAAAATGAATAATGCATGACTTATATTAAATACACACTGTATTAAGTAGTCTACATTTCATCCAACTCTGTCTTTCATTTTTAAACATTTTGAACTACAATATGAATAATCAACCAAGGGAAGCTTATTTAGACAGAGAAATACCTTATCTGAATGCAAACTGGAAGTATCCGACTATGATTAAATTTTGGTTATCAATTAGGGAGGGTTTTTTCCTAAGCATTTGGAAAGTCAGAGTCGGCTTTGAAAGAGAATATTTCTTGAGGAGAAAGTAGCTTTGCTAATGCACAGTTTAAGTAGGGCAGGGTGTAGCCTATCTAATTTTTCACGGCTACAAGCAACTCAGTAAGTTTTCATTAATGAATTCCAAAGATTAAAATAAAAAATACATATAATTGGATTAAAATGACTATTAAAATAGATGATAATCAATTGATTTTGCTTTAATAGCCTAATACTTTTGAAAATAGTTCATTCATTTGTATCATTTCCATCTAGATGCATGGGGCAGAGTTTTAGAAACTTGAGTGTTAAATGGCTCTTTATATGAAGCTTACAGAAAAAGTGACTTAGAAATTCAGGAGTCTACCTCCCATATCCTTCAAGATCATGGAGAAACAGTAAATGCAATGAGGTTGTGCTCCTAAGAGCCCGAGCTGCTTCTGAAAAAGGGACTTTAAAGTCACGTAGTTACTTTCACCATTTTGAACTTAAGTCAAAGAAGTAGTTTATTACTCTTGGTAAATGTGTAAGAACCACTTGCAAGCTAGAGAACAGCATTCACTGAATGTGCTAGACATACAGGTGTATATACACATATGTATGCGTATATAGATATATAATTCCTATTATATGGGAAAGAACAAAGTTGGCAACAGATATCCAGCCTTTCCTCCCTATCTTCTACAGCCAGCTCCAAGCTGCCCCATGAGCCACCTATTAGCTCTCGTGCTGTCTATCAGCGCCTCCCACCCACACGGCCCCTGCTGCTGCTCCTTGTCCGGCTCCCCTTCCTGTACCAGAATACAGAGGTGTGCCCAAGCAGAAAAATAAGCAGTCAGGAAATCAGAGCCACAGAGATCAGGGCTAATGACAGACCCTCGAAGGAGAAAGCGTTCTTTTGAGAAAGCGACAATAAAACCGTTTCTGCGGCCGCTGCTTCCAGGCAACGCAGAAAAGAGGCACCTGAAACGTCCACTGAAATGCCCCACCAATGTGGCACGGCCAATTTTATCGACTAAATGTGGTTCTTTGTTTAAAGCACCAAGGCCTGTAAAAAAATGTTCACTCTAATATTTCCAAAGGAAAAATTAACAAGGAGCATCTATTCAATTGACAATTGCTCGTTGACAATTAAGGCAACGAATGTGACATTTAAACTACTGACTGTTCTACAGTATAAAAGGACAATATGGTATTTTTGACTCTTACATTCACAAAAGAGAATTAACATAGTCTGCTGGTAATATATTTGACCTTCTGATGCAACATTCACGTCCATCGCTTGGTCTTTCTTCTTCAGCAGCAATGTGAAAGGTTATTGGGGAAATTGGAAGGAAAACACATGAGCAAACAGCATCTTCTAGTTCCATGTTTATCTGCAAGTCAATATGAAAACTTGCATTTCATTCTCTATTTTTAGACTAATATATTTCTATGGCATATGCAAACTCCCTTTTGTAAACTGAACAGAGAAACTGTAGAAACACAACATAAAAATGTAGGACTAAACAACTTAGGACAATAGTGCATGAACAAGTATCTGTTTCAACAGCTTCCAAAATTTTACTTGCCTCCCAGACAATCAAATCATTTTTTCACTTCTTTATCACTAGCTATCTTACAGTAACGGTCAGTATATTCTTTGTTTGGGCCAGTAATTCTCCCTACTATTTTGCAGAGGTGCATGGCACCAAGGGCCATTTTTTGTCCGACCAACCTAAAGTCAAAGCAACCGTAGGCCTGTTCTAAAGAGCTGACCTGTTCACACACAGTTTGTCGAGGCATTGCCACAAGACGTGAACTAATACTAAATTGCGCACAATAGCTTTCCCAGCAGAGGACAAACCAGATCTTAAAACAGGTATTTACAGTTGGCCTCTACCAACTACTGCATTTTTTGCAATCCGATATCAACAAGTATTGTATTGCAAGAGCCATGAGTTGAATGTTTGACTTCAAGGACTGATTTGCTAAAAATAAAATTATGGCAACATGTTGGATAAAGATAGCGCTGAATTGTACCCCAGTCACAGTGGGGTAAGAGGGTTCTTGAGATATGTAGGTAAACAGCATCACAACTATCTGTGATCAAAACCCTTCTCAAATCTACCAGAAACTTGGATCAGAGATCACAAGAAAATAACTATATGCCAAGTCCCTTTATATCTTATGAAATGCTTTGGGACTTTCATCATGCTTTTCTGCAAGAAAACAGGAACTTGGCTGGATTGAAAACAGTATCTTAAAATGAGCTTATTTCCAAAATTAACGTATGTGCAATGCCTGATAGGTGGAAACGCTACCCAGCTACACTTTGAATAACTGAAATCTGCAATACCAATACGAAGAGCTTTGAAAGTCTCCCAAATTTGTTAAACATTGTTTCTGCCAATTTCGTTTTCACAATGAGCCAAGTCATTCTAAAGCTTCTGCATTCAAACATTTAGAAACAAACACACAAAAATAATCAAAAGGACACCATGCCGCACACCCACTGAGCCAGAACTTCCCAGATAAAGCAGGCTGCGCACCAGAGAGGAACCAGATTCACTGCAGTGATTTTAAAGATGCAATTACAAATATTATATGTTACTTAAACTAAAGAGATGTTCAAATGAGTACTCGCTGTGTAAATCCAGCATGAAGAGCAGTTTCTGACAGTCCTCTATGCAGTGTAATTCAGGTCATTTATTGTGTAATTATTAACCTCATC